AATAGTTTAAGCTTCTTATTTATAACACTGTAAGAGTCTTTTATAATAATTGCCCGTCCTTTATATAAACCAGTTATTTGCATTGTTCGTGAACCTTTAATGATGGGAGTTCCTTTCACTTCTGTCATGTGTCTTAAGATGAAGTTTATGTCATAACTGAGGTTGTGAAAATATATTAAACTCTTGTCAGGGAGTCTTTCCAAAAATTCTGTTGCACAGTTTTGACCCCAAATGCTTTCACTCACTGAACCATCTTCACTGTCATAACAGATGTTAAAAGCTTTATGAAAGCCATCCGTACTACACTCAAAGTCAGCAAAGAAAACGTGCTCAGGAATGAACTTTACATTTTTTATTTACTTCTTTTGACTCTGCTTTCTTCTTCAGTTGTACACAATACTTTGGAGCATATGTCAAATCTTTAAATGGTGCAAGGTTCTGTTTATATAAGTCAGTAGTATATGTGAAAAGTTCTCCATAAGAAATAGGTTCGAAATATTTGCACTCCCACAATGTTTTCATAACATCCCATAGCGGTGTAGTTCTATCATGCGAACTAATGTATTTATCCTCTCTTGTATATATTTCATCTGTTTTCAATGTTCATTCCACCACACTCCTTCAAGATTTCTATATAGTTGCGAATGAAATATGTTGTCATTGGTAATCTTTCGTTTAGCATGTAGTGGTCTTCAACAAGAAGTAAGTCAATAGTTTAACAGTTTCACATTCTTTTGGTATGTATCTCTTTATTTCATTATGTCTTGAGTCATTGAAGTAACCAATGGTAACATTAAATGCTATACCTGTTGCGTCAGAAATTTCTTGTACTTTACTTTGAGGAAAGTCTCTAACACGAATGACTTCTCTCATGTGGTCAATAGTTTCTTCATTTACTCCAGCCTGAATGCAAGCATAAACGAAACAATTGTCTTCTGTCATAAGTGTTGCAGTTCTTTTGTTCAATTCATTGAAGATTTGGTAGCGTCAAGATTTATAGGTAATGTGCAAAGATACTTCCAGAACTGACCCGCTTCTCTTCTTATAAAACTTCTTTTCACCATTATCTTTCCAAAAGCTTTCTATAAGTGCTGGGTTTCCTGTTTGCTTAAGAGCTTCCAAAATGGCTTTCTGGTCATTTGTCAGTGTGCTTTCATCTCTATATGGTCTCTTTTTTGGTTTGCCTTTCTTTACATCTGACATCGTTAAGCCTTCATATTCTGTTAAATCATACATCTTTATTTCAGTAAGATTCTTTATGTTTGTCAAGAAGAAGTCATAGTGCATTTCAACAATACCTGCAGCATTTGCTTCTATCTCTGATATAAAGTTCTCCTTCAAGAGCTGATGTAGTAATGTTCCAATATTATTGAGGTTTAACGTAGAACATTCATACTTTCCACCAAGTTTATAACATACCATCCATCTTTGTTGTGAGTTTATTTTAATTTTCTCTAAGAGTCTCATGAAAACCTTACCGAAATGTTTGTGTAAGTAGTCTCTGTTTGGTTCATCTAAAGCTTCGATGTTAAAGTCAATGAGTCTATTGCCTGACTTCACATTTCTCTTCCTATTCTCTTCATCTTTCTTTAACCATCTCTCACCTTCTTTTGGTTTGTCGTCAATGGAACGAATGACATCGTTAGCTTGCGAACTTGTTCTATAGCACTTTTAAAACATCTCTCTTCTCTGTTGTTTCAGTGTGTCGTCTCTTCTTCTTGTTTCACCAACGTTCGCATTTGTTATGTCAAACATCTCTTGACGAACATCATGAGAAAGAGCTTTACGAGTATGACCAACGTTCGCATTTGTTATGTCAAACATCTCTTGACGAACATCATGAGAAAGAGCTTTACGAGTATGACCAACGTTCGCATTTTTATGTCAAACATCTCACGCCTTACTTCATGAGGGTATTGAACGTCTATGATATAAGTCAATAGCAACGTCATTTAAAGGAAATGCTATTGCATGGACTTCGTCCTCGCCCGTTGCGGCTTTATGAACTCATGAATTCTATCATAACTTATGCACCATTATAGTCTTTAATGAAGTCAGCGAGTGCTTTTTGTTTGTTGCGTAATGTTTTGCAACATCTATGTTAGCTTCTTGTAAGAAGTTGTTTTATTTCCGAGTGCTTCTAACTTAGACAACTTCCGATACATCTTTAGTAGGAAATAAAAAAATATTTTTTGAAAAAATTAGATTACATTTTTAAGTTATTTTTCAAAATAATTTAATATTTTTATTTTAATGAAAACACATGCAAGATTGCAAGTTCTTTTCATACAATGCTCTCGCTAATGCCATCAAGAATGAGTTCAATGGTGCTTCAAATGTTAATTATCTTTAACAAGAAGTTTGTGAAAGAATCTAAGTTCGGTCAGTATGTCAGACCATTAGCTATCGTCATTGACCGCAAAACGTTATACTTCACAAGAGTTAGCAGTATTTTTGAAACAAAAGGGTTTCTTCGTGAATGTCAAAGATACTCATTATACTGTTATAAAGAACTCTAACATTGACTTCTTCTTCAGTATTGCTTTAAATCTTTCCGAACAGAAAGAATATAAGAAAGGTGAAACAAATGTGAAATATTATCCTTCATCTCTGAAGACAATAACGAACAAAGATGTTATACAGAAATTCTTACCAAAGGTTGAAGAAGCTTCTATTGACATTGACGAAGGAAGTGAAAATGGTTGAAGAAATTGACCCTGACGTCATTTAAGCAAAAAATATATTTTTGGTTAGTCTTCATATCGATATTTTACAACAATTCCCAATATAAACTTTTCATACGCTTTTTCATAAGCTTTATATACCTTCAGAAATTTTGCATAATCTTTAGAAGCATTTAGATATTGTTTAAATGCTTTGTATGTCTTCAGAAATTTTGCATAATCTTTTACATGTTGTTCGTTCTCTTCTTCTGTCATGAGTTCCGAATATCTAAATTCATGTTCTTTCATATGAGATAAAATTTTATAAAAAAAATAAAATTAGCTTAGATTTTTTTATTCTTCCTCTTTGAAGTTATCGAAATATTCTGTTTTTTCCTTCAGTAATGGTAAGTTCTTTGAATGTAAGTATTGTGCAACCTTTGATGTCATAGTGTGTTTGAGGAAGAGTACTTTTGACAATTTCCTTTATTTGCTCATTCGGTGTCATTGAAATCGGTAAGTTTTCACGATAGAACCAGTTTCTGTCAGATTTGTAAAATCTTAGCAAGGTCATAAAAGCTTTTGTTGTTTCTTCTGACTAAATGCAACATAACCATATCTCTGTCTTCTTCTTTCTCCAACTCTTCAGTATATATCATATACTTATAACTCTTTTCCTTTCCTTTTGGTACTGAACGCGGTATTCTTTTCTGTATGCTTTTGTCTTTGGATTCAATGACTTCATCTTTTGCTTGAAGTTTCTTTTCCATCTCTCCACGTTCTTGTCTGTGAAGTTCGTCAAGAAGTTTGTAAATATTCCAAGCATAACGTGGTGAAGCCCACATTGCAACTGCATTTACTAAAAGTCTATGAACATAATATCCTCTCAAACCGTTTGGCAATTTTTCACGGTTTTCATAGAGTTTTGGCGACTGGGATTTTTTACCTACTCGCTGTTCTTCACTGTTTTCAGAAAAAAGTACGTCTCGCTGTGCTTCACTTAATAGTTCTATGGTGCTTTGGTTCCTAAACCAGTCTTTAGGAAGCTTAGTATCTGGAGCAAAACAAGCCGTCAAAATACTTTGCATTTGTACATGTCATCTTTGACTGAACGAATGAGACGTAACTGTTTGTTATATTGTATGTACTCGTATTCTTCATTTATGGCTTCATGAACGATAGCAGTTGTTGTGTTCTCTAATGTTGACATTACTGTCTTTACATACAAAATAAAAAAATAAATAAAAAAATAAAATTAGCGTTATTTTTTCTGAGATAAACACTATTTCTTCACAACATTAAATTTTATTCCTGTATGAAATGACTTTAAAAAGATTATTGACTGACTTCGAATACTATCTCATTGACGCACTGACAGACCCTCAAAACTGTGTTGAAAGTTCTTTAAGCTTTAAGATTGAAGGTACGACGCATTTTGTCTTCACTTACGTATTGAAAGAATATGACCGTTATCATAACGAAGTGAATCAAACACTAATAAAATTTGTAGATAAAAAATTGCGTTAACAATGAATATTTTAAACGTGAAGACCCAAACACTGCTGGAGATGATGAAGAATACAGACAAGCTATTGAAAAAAATAACGCAAGATTAGATGCAATAGAAAAGAAGTTTAATGAATGTCTTACAAAACACGTAGAATATCTTATGCGGTGGGAAGCTAGATGGAAATAAATTTACGTCAAATATGCAATTTATAAAATCTTATGTCGACAGGCTACGTAGCACAGTGGTCTAAGGTGGTGTTATCGGAGGGTCAGAGTCTGTGGTTCGAACCGCGACAGCGCCGTATTTTTCTTATTTTCTTTGTTTGTCTTGTTTGTCGTGAATAAAAAGTGTCATAAAAGTGCTCTATCTTCCACGGAATAAATAAAAAATTTACTTTATTTCTTCTTTATTTCTTTGTTCCCGTGGAAGAAGGCGTTTTTGCCGTTTTTTCTCAGCCGAAATCAACGATTTTTTCATTTTTGGAATCCTTAGCAAATGAGGAATCTTTTCTCTCGTGGAAGCTTTGACCAAAAATATAATTTAGGTGAAGAGGTGAGATTTCACCTCTTTTTCACCTAATTTTTTCACCCTCATGACTTTGTCATAACTTCTTCGTAAATGCTTTGTCATAACTTCTTCGTAAATGCTTTGTCATAACTTCTTCGTAAATGCTTTGTCATAACTTCTTCGTAAATGCCTTGTCAAGATTTCATCGTAAATGCTTTGTCATGACTTCTTCGTAAATGAGTGTAAATGACCAAAAATATAATTTAGGTGAAGAGGTGAGATTTCACCTCTTTTTTCACCTAATTTTTCACCTCTTTTTTTCACAAGCGTTTTACATGAATTGTACGATGTATATTTGAAATCCTAAACAGTTTTGTAGCTTCTATTTCTTCGCTGAGGATATCAAAAGTTTTAACAATGCCGAAAGTCTCTTTATATTTCTTCTTGACGTCAGATAGAAGGAAATCTTCTACTGTTGGATAGTTTTTGTTCAGAAATGCTAACATGTCCATTTTATCTTCTGCTGGCTTTTCTGCTTCTTTCTTTAAGTCTGCATAGTCGTTTCGCATTCTTTCTATCTCTTTGACGGAGTAGTTATATTTCCTTATTGCTGCTTTACATTTTGAACATTGTGGGTTCATTTTTGCATTATACATTGAAATTTGACCTGCTAGAACAACTAAAGCGTCAATTGCTCTCTTCATCTCAAACATAGCGGGTCTTAGTTGTTCGTTCCATACTTTGCCTCTTCTATCTTTATCTCTTATTTCCCAAACACATTCAGCAACTAACGAAACAAAGTTGTCGTAGGTCTTAAATTCTTCAGATTTATATATGTCAGAAACATTCTTATATACCATATCGCAATCTTTGTCCATAACTTTATGGTTGCAATGAAAACCAAGGAATTCATAATTTACTTTACGTATGAACTTCTTTATTTCTACTGAGTCAGTTGCTTTGACTTCAATTTCGTCGAATTCAGGAATAGTTTTTTTGATGCTGAATTTCAGGTAGTTTAGGTAAATGGTCGATGAGGTCCTCCATTTCATAAAGATACTGTTCATTTGTTTCATCTTTCGCACTACAGTCTAAATTACTTGTTAAAAGTTCTTGCTTAATTTTTTGATTTTCTGTTTCGAAAGTAAATGAAGAAGGAATGAAGCTTTCCATCTCTACTAACATAGATGTTGGATTCATGACTAACGAGTTTGGTGAAGTTGTTGTGGACAGAGTCCCGCCGTTCGCGGCTTGAATTGTTGTTGTGCCGATTGTTGAAATCATATCTTTTATACAAAATAAAAAATAAATAAAAATAAAACTAACTTTATTTTTTCTATCTTAAGGAAATTCACGAAAATTCAAGAGGTGAAAAAACAGGTGAGAAAACAGGTGAAATCTCACCTCTTCACCTATAATATATTTTTGTCTGATTTACATCCAACGAAAAAGTTTAGAAGAATTTTCTTATTCTTTCTGGCATGTTTTTATCTTTCCAGTACTCCCGCTCTAATGGTCCCAGATGAGTTGGTTTAGATTCTCTCAAGTTCTTAGATGGTATAACATCTTCAACGCCTCCTTCATATCTTACTTTATAAGTGTCATCGTTTATGTTGTAGTCAAGTATTTCAATAACCACTCCTCGCTTTGCTTCGTCAATGGTTTCAGCAAGTTTGCCATTACTACTTTCGACTAATTTATGACGAGGGTAAAATGCTATGGAGTCGTCAGCAGCTTTTATAAGATATCCATTACCTTGCGTAGAGTCTACGATATAATAATTTCGACTTAACCTTAAACGTTTCTTTGTCAACGGTTTGTCGTCAAGAACTACACGAACTTTTGTTCCAGGAATGAGAGTAAATTGTGTTGAATTTCTGATATTTTGTGTTTGACTTCGTTTCTTTTGTATATACTTTTCTTCTTGTTGTTGTGTCATTGAATTTGGTGTATGTCCTGTTGTAGAATGTGTTGAGGAATTGTAAACTTCGATGAAATGTTTCATTGTTTCTTCGGTAAAGTCTCGCTCTTGATTTAAATCTCTGAGAGTCCTTATGAAGCGGTTAATGATACCGAGTATGTTATGGTTATGGTCTTCAGTAGTGTAGTGAGTTATGTTATGCTTAATGAGAAATTCTGTGATTTCGTTGCTGAGGTATGCACCGTCTTGGTCTGATGTTAAAATACTTGGGCTATGTTCTGCTACAAACTTTTGTAAAACTCTTAACACTTCATGAGTTCCTTTATTTCTCATTATATACGCAAAAGCTTTGCGAGTGTTAACATTAATGAAGATGAGGAATGGTTTATGTCCTCCTTTTCTGCTTTGAATGAGAGTGTCAAATTGGTATGCGTCAGGAGTGTTGGAGTAAATTGGTAAAAAGTAGTCGTAAGGATTTATTTTTGTTTGATGTACAACATTTTTGTCAAAGAACCTTTTCACTTCAGCTCTGTTAGTAAATCCCGAACTCTTTGCAGCTTCATTGAATTTCTTAAAAGACCTCCATGGATGTTGTTCGAATACTTCTTTCAAGCTCATTTATGTAAAGTTAAAGATTTTAACCAACTCGTATCCAAGCGTGCATTGTTATATAAGGAGGCATATAATCTTTTCCATTACCTGCTGGGTCTGTAATACCAGCTACAACATGTGTATGATTTCCTGCAGTTCCACAGAAAATACCTGTGCTAACATCTTTGGGGTCATCTGAGATATCATATCTATTCATTCCCTGTCTATTCGAACCCGCTGCAAGATTTATAACCTTTTTTGTTATTGAATGTGAATGGTTTCCTTCCACAGATGTTCTTCCACTGAACCTATGCATATGTGAAGGAAGGTTTTCAATACCTATTTTCTTTGAACCTCCCATCTTCATTGACTGCGTATTAGTGTAGAATGGAAAACTGTCAACTATTTCATACCATCTACCACCAAATAAAGTGTTTGGATTTATTGGATTCATAGACGTATAAACAGCTCCTATAGGATATATTAAATCATATATGCTCATAACTCTATAAACATATTCTAAAGAACTTATGTCATTAAATACCATTTGGAATGTATCTCCCGGATGAAATGTTGCATTTGTTCCACTTTTATAATGTAATGTTAGTTCAATAGAATTATCCAAGAAAAATTCAAAAGTATCTGGTTGAAGACCTCTAACAAATTCAAATGGAGTTGCTGGTTCACCATTTATAATTTCTGTTGTAAATGTCATTGTATCTGGTTTCGAAAATTTCTTTGTTAGTTCTGTATCCACATAAGTTTTGTCGGCTTTACTGTCTAACATTGCTGGTAGTTCATATGCTTCAAAGTTTCTGGCATGACCTTCGATATTCCTGCAACTCTTATCTAAATTGTTAAGAGTATCTTTTACGCTTGTACTCGGATTCTCTAAAGGTGCACTTGAACCCAAATCATAGTTCAATATTATGTCGTCTGCTCTAACAGTAGTGAAGGATTTATGTGTATGATTTTTGTCGGCTTTACTGTCTAAAGAAGTTTGAAGTTCATTTATATCGGAGATATTGTGTTTATGAGATTTCAAAACTTTGTTCGTTGCGTCAAGTTCTGTTTTGTCAGCTTTACTTTTAATAGCATCTTCAAAAGTTATTTTTGACTTAACTCTCAAAGTAAATCTTGGTTCAACTAATACACCGTTAACAAAGAAGTATGAAGCATAAATTTCAGCGTTATAACCAAATGATTGTGGTGCTATACCTGTGTCATACTGTACAGTACAGTGTATGTCATAACCTTTAGCACGAATGAATTTATATCTTCTTTCATTAACATTTTTCGTATTCACTTTTTCACCCTGTGTTAAATATCCATGATAGTCCGTTATAATCTGTTCATCAGAACTTATATAATGAACATGGTTTTTGTCTGCTTTATTGTCTAAAGAAGTTTGAAGTTCATTTATATCGGAGATATTGTGTTTATGAGATTTCAAAACTTTGTTCGTTGCGTCAAGTTCATTTTTGTCCGCTTTACTATTTAATGTAGCTTGAAGTTCATTTATATCGGAGATATTGTGTTTATGTTCTTTATCTGCTTTTTCGGCTAATTTCTCTTCTATCTCATTTATTTCAAGTTCATGCCTACCACCACCTCCCGAAGAAGTATTTTTCTTCAGCTCTTGAAGAACGTCCACTTCGCCATCTTTGGTGTCAATAATGAGACTTTGAGTTAAAACCTTTCCTGTCTTAATGGATGTTTGTAAAACTTCTTCTTCACCGTGTTCGGGGTCATGGTCGTCATCATATCTTGTGAAATCAGAGATGTTGTCATACATTAAGCATATCTGTCTCAAAAGTTCTGCTATTTGAATTGGAACGAAAGATATACAGAACTTTCATCATCTCCTAAAGTCAAGTCTGCTTTCTTAAGTATTTCTTGAATGTATGCAATGAGAACAGAGTACCTTGGAAAATATTCGAACAATATTTCATTAGCTGTTGGTTTTGGTGGTTCTTCTGGAGTTTCTGTTGTTTCAGTTCCTTCTAGTTTCTGTTTTTCTGCATCTCTTGACTTCAATGCTCTTGCTCTCAAAGACCTAAATGTTAGAGCACCGGGTTTTACAAAGGACTTTATAAATGCTTTAATAGTTCCTGGTAAGTTATTGTTAGCATTAAGTAAGTTCCTTATGCTTCCATCATGTACGTCCATAGCACTATGTAAAAAATCTATACTTTTCTTGTAGTCAGCAATAGACTGACTGTGATTTTTTAAAGATTTGTCAATACCTTTAAGCCAATCTTCATGCATGTCTGATACTGAGCCAAGAATATCATTTGCTTCCTTTAGTGTATTTTGTGCTTTTCGTAAAGTATCCAATCCCGTACGTGCATTGTTTGCTATACGTCTTACAGTATCTATTTGACTCCTTGTTTCTTGCATCCAACCAGATAAAGTTTTAATAGTATCCGAACCATTTGAAATGAAGTTCAAAGCATTTTTAACATCATCTAAAGCTTCTTCACCAAGTACTGCCCATATCTTTCCGATTTGGTATTGAAGAACTCCATATGAAGCAGCTGTTAAACCAGTATTTATAAGGTCCCATATCCATGATTTAGCAGTTTTTCCATCCTTTCCATCCTTTCCATCCAAACCGTTTTCGCCTTGAGGTCCTTGTATTCCTTGTATTCCTTGTATTCCTTGTGGTCCTTGTGGTCCGGTGTCACCCTTCTCTCCTTTCAGTTCATCTTTATGTTCGTTATAATATTCTAATGTCATAAGGTGTACATCATTACTGCTACCAGCAACCTAAATTTGTTTCTCATTCATGACTAAATTCTTTAGGCATTTAATGTTGTCGTCAAATCGAAAGCTCTTTAACAATTCAATGAGAACATTCAGTACTTTCACTAATGAGGCATCTACTGTAGAATTTATATATTGCACCGTTCCATCATTTATGATAGGAACTTTACTTATTGTAATGAATGGGTCATAAGTGTTAAAAGTATCGAAATCAATGACTTTTTTAGTTTTTCCATCGTCAATGACTAAATCATTGCCTTCAATGGTTAAAGTTGAGTTTTCGTTTACTAGTTCATGTGCTCTTCTTGCTTCATTTGTTTCATACGCATATGCAGCAATAGTCATATTTTAATGAGAATAAAATGTTGTTCTATTTGCAAAGTACTGACCCAAACGAATACGGAACAGTAAAGCTACAAACAAACTTAGGTCTTCAGAATGAAGCGCTTGCTTTCAGAGTTGTTGACTTCAATACTATCGCAACTTTTGTCATAACAGATGAAACAGATTTCATGGAGTTTGAAATAGATGGAAAGAAGCATGAAATAAGATTTCACAATAATGTAGAATATAAGATGGAAACATTAGCTGGAGTGTTAAATGCGCTCATAAATACTACAATAAACAAGGAGAACGAAGAAAACTTAATGAATGTTAAACTTATTGCAGGAGTTTTGAAGTTCAGTTATGCGAAGGAGTTTAAGATAACACGAATGAGTCATAGAGTTCAATTGCTTCTGGGAGCATACCATATGACATTTCCTTTGAAAAGTTTGACAAAACGATTGAGATGAAATCTGTTCCATACGTATGTTATGGCAATTGTTTATACATTGAGTCAAAAATAGCTAATGTCACAGGTATTTCAGGAGTTAATAGTAAAGGTTCAGTAGAATATAAGTCTTTCTGTTATGAAGTAAATTCAATGTTCATTCCAAACGTTCCTGTCATAGCAACTCATTTAGGTAAATGGGTTCGCATTAGTCCTCATAATTTGAAAGACATGCAATTCAGACTAGTTGACTTTCAAGGAGAGCCTGTAGAACTGAAGGCACCAGTGCGAATGACTGTTGAAGTAGACTTTTTAGAAAATATTAAATGCAACAGCTTACAAGAGAACTCAGAGCTAAAAATATAAAGTATGAATGTTATGTATTAGGTCATGAACTTTGGTTGTTGCTGTTTGATGAAACAAATGAGTTAGTTATGTCAGTCAAGAGAACAGAAAAAGGCGTCAAAGGCGCCGAGCGCAAAGCGCTATATTGTGTTAGTGAGAACTGCACCAAGTCAATAAGATTAGGTTTGCATTATGAAGATGAGTTCGATACTGTTGAAGAAGTTTTGGATAGATATTACAAATTGCTAACTTGAAATTTTTTTGACTAACGGCGCAAAGCGCCAAGATGGGCTCAAAGAGCCCTCCTGACTGCTTTAATTTACTAAAACATATTTCAAACATAATTTATATTCTGTTGAAAGTTTTGTATACTCGTTCGAATATTTATACTTAAACTCAACTCCTGGAGTACCTGGTATTTCAATGATGCGGATGTTACCTATTTTCATGAATGGTGGCGTTTGACCACAGCATTCGATTTCAGGGTCGAGATAGTCAATGACACATTGTTTCCCTGTTATTCGTGATATAACATTTTCAAGGTCCTCCTTTGTTAGAATTATTTGGTTCTTGCTTATAAGATTTGTCAAAAGCTTCTTATCGTCTTTGAGTAAGATAGTTTGATATAACTGAAGAAGGTAATGGTCTACGTTATCTGAAGGATTTGTTTGAACATTTGTGTAAGGGTTGTCGTTGGCTTCTCTTGAAAGAATTTGGTCCAGTGGTGGATACTCTAACTTAACATCTGATGTAGCGTTAGCGTTTGAAGCTGAGTTTAAATTCACGGCGCCATGCGCCAAGACCGAAGGTCCCGACTTAAGTTCTGGTTCTTTTTCTTTCAAACACTCCGAACTATAGTTCTTTATGACAATATTGTTTGTCGTTCGTGAGTCAACATTTGATGTTGGTTCAATTGGAACATTAACGGCACCAGCTAAGATGGATTTGCTTCTCATTTCATATAGAATAAAAACCTTTTATATGTATGAAATGAACAATATACTCGACAAGGGTTTGAATGTAAAGCTAACGAATGAAAATATTGTTGAATTCACTGAGACAGGTGCTGTGTATAAAGATGTAGAACTACTGAACAAAAGAGCTAAGGGAAGAAGCAGGAACATGAACAAAGGGTGGAAGCCTATAAAAATTTATGTCAATGATGGCTCAGGAGGTTCAAACATAAAGTATGCAGAAAGTTATAGAGTTTATGCGCTAAAAGGTGAAAAGCCTTCATTTAAGAACAGCTATTCTAACGCATATCCTCAAAAGTTAACGGATGGGGAAGTGGATGATATGAATGACAGCAAAAATATTAACAGAAATGGCGACAGAGATGCATGGAATTTGTTTACCATCAGTCAATTGAAGGTTAAACTTTAAAACAATGTTGGTCGTTCCCATGGAATATTTTTGACTTTAATGGTATTAGTCATGATATGAATCTCAAGGTATGAACGAGGAGAGATGAGAGACTTATATGCTTCCCAAATTTCTTCAAAAGGTAATGTTATACCTGACTGTTTCCAAATGAGTTCAATATCATAGCGTGAGAAACCTTGAAAGATAACGAAGTCAGTTATGAGACGTTTTATGTTTAAAGCTAAAAACCTCCATGTTTGCATAAGTATTGCTACAGTTAAGTGGTAATGTCTGACTTTAGTAATGATGTTAGCTAATGGTGAGTGGCTTTGACACTAAACCTTTTCCGGCGAAGTCGTCGCAAACGAGCAGAGTGTTTGAAGGATACTTTTTGAAGGGGTATTTTGAAAGTTTTGACAGAATGTAGTTTGTAAGTCGTTTCATATCGTAAACTCCTGAGTATTGACGTAAGTGGTGTTTGTCAATAATTCTTTCCATCTCTTCTGAAGTCTTTTGCATTCCTGACTGTATAAATTCAACGATGGCATAATATTTCCTCTTACGTCGAATGTAACGTTGAAGAAATTCAATGAGTTCGCTATCTGGAACTTTAACGACAGAGGCTTGAACTTTTGACATAAATGTTTTCGCTGTTGAGTCCATAGAGTCTGAAGTTGCTGATATAATGATTTGGTCATAATATGAATCTTGACCTAAACGCTCTGTTATGAGTATATGACGAATGAGGTTAAATGTCTTACCTGACCCATCTTTCCACAATAGAAATAAACACCATTTGAACAGAACTCATAGTCCTTACTGAAAGGAAGAATAAGAGAAGAGTTAAGTTTGTCTGTAGTTTCATTCATGTCTTCATCTACGTCATGTATTAAATGCTTCATTTTATCTCCATTAAAAATGCAAGTCAGAAATATTCAGAACATAGCACCGAGTCTAACTGACAAGAGTATAAAGATATACTATGAACACGTTATGATGAAACCAACCAAAATTCAAGAAGTCAGTATACTTATGAATATCCAAGACACTGGGTAGAGTATGTAGGAGGTGAGAAAGCTATTGAAATAAGACAAGTTAGAAGTATTCCAGCAGGAAGGACAATATTATTGAAGAACTTTAATGTTTTGAGATATAATGATGAGACAAAGAAGCAAGATAGTTTTCCTTGCTGTGTATGTGAACCTAGACACAGGAGATGACATGAAAGTTTTTAACACAAAGCTTCAAACGGTAGTGAGAGAACAACTGACTGCGGAAGGACACCCATTACCTTCAGAAGTTACCATAGCGTATAATTTTGAAACAAATCAATAGATTTTAAAGTCGTCTCTGCAAAGAAGTCAGGTTTTACATTTAATGAAGCAGATGTATATTCGAATGAAAACTTCAAAGCTATTGCATGGTTAGATAATGACGATTGCTTTAAGAAAATATTTAAATTCAGTGACTCAACGATGTCAATAGATGACCTTCGTGGAATGTTACCATCGACGTTTACAGTAGAAGGTTCAGCAGGATTGCTTACAAGA